TTTGCTAGAATAACTTATGATAATTCCCCGTCCAACCAAAAAAAAAAAAAAAAAAAAGAAGCACAAGTACCACATCGCTTTCTCCTCCTTGGCTGTTGTCTCTTCACCTTGTGTCTCACTCATTTTCCTATTCTTATGACGCTGGAACACGTGGAGCTTACAGATCAATTCCGGACTGCTCAGGGGTTCCCAAGAGTCTGGGTTACTTTTCCTCAGTGCTGAGACAAAATACCCAACACCCAAAGTTGAAGGAGGAAAGGTTTATTTTAGCTCACAGTTTGTGGAGGTTTCAATTCACAGTTGGCTGGCTCCGAGGCAGAGTGGCATGGCAGAGGGATAGCAGAGGAGAAACAGTTCATGGCAAAGCAGGGCAGGCAGAAGGCAGCAAGTAGCAAGCAGCAAGTGACAAGCAACAGATTTTTTTCTGCCCTTATTTTTTGGGTCCAGGGTAACCACCCTGGGGTAGCACTCACACCCAGGCTGGGACACCCTTAATCCTCCCCAGAACTATGCCAAACTGAGCCGTGGTCTAATTTAGTAATCACACATCCTTAATCCCAGGGTCACACACTCTAGATGAGCCACCTCTGAAAAGCCTCACCTATGACGGAATGAGGCTTTGGGGGGACATCTAAACATAAGCCCTAACATCAAGCAACCTAAAAGAAAACAATAGCTACTGTATAGATTAAACTTGTGGATAGACCGCTTCAAAATAACTTACTGATTCTCATCTCCTGAGAGAAACCTGCCACAGCCTCTGAAGGTGTCTTTCTTGTGAGGTTTGCTTCCATCAGAGCTGGGAGCCAGCAGAGCCCCACTAGGTACTTTATTTCCCAGCTTGTGGTCCCAGAGGACAACAAGGGGCCTGGTATTCACACGCACTGCAGAACAAAAGGGCTTCCAAGTTCTTCACTGTGAAATTTAGTCACAAATTATTTTAGCATGGTGGAAAAGCGTGAGTATTTTGGAAGAAAAAAAAAAACATTAAATACACACACACATCAAAACAGAGAAAAACATCTGAGTTCTGGGAAATACTATCCAAAAGCAATGAACACCATCTTAACCTAACTCCTAAACCAAGCTTGTGTGCATGGAGGCGGCGGGGGAGTTTCTGGGCACTTCCTAGAGAGGACTTGATATGACACAGAAAGCTTTCTGTTCCCGATGCAATGCAAATTTCCTTGAAGGGCTTTCTGTGGTTTTTGTTTATTTTGGTTTGATACTGGAAGATCAGGCCAGGCACTCAGCTTTCGTCACAAAATTAAGGTCTGGAACTTTTGCATAATGAGTAAAAACAGCGAGGGACAGAGGACTCCGTGAACGGGAGCCCATCGTGGGGAAGGCGGCCAAGTCTCTGCAAGACGATCACACAGATAAGGAGCTGGCTGAGCGCCAACCGCACGTTGTTATAATAGACATTGGCAGACGCTAGCCGTACGTACCGAACTGTGAAAGATGAAGAATTTCATTAATAAACCTAAAAATGTTATTACGGGCAGTGTAAGAATGAGCAAAGAAGTGGCAAGGAAAACTGTATCACATATTATATATTTTGGCTCTTAATCCCTAACAATAACATACCTACAGTGATATGCTATTATCAAATTGGCCAGCAATCTCTTCAATTGCCAAAAGGCAAGGCTGAACAGGATGTATTTTTTACATAGAACACATATGGGGAGAGAGAGAGAGAAAGAGAGAGCTGTAGACACACTATACATTGAGTAAGTTGATACGGTTAAACCCATAACCACACAAAGTTAAAGGTAAGTTGCAAGGTTGCTCGTCGGGTACAAACCTGTAAAACCTTGTCTAAAATAGCCAGCCATCGCCACTGACCGGTGCTCAGCATGTAACCAATATTTTAGCTTTTGCTTTATCGGCCACAGTAGGGACAGACAGAAGTTTGTGACAAACCAGAAACTCTAAAGGTCAGGAAGTCTGATTTCCTAGTCCACCTGTGCAATTCCACAGAACTAGAATAAAGAAGCCTGGCTGGGCATGGTGGCACATGCCTGTGATCCCAACACTTTGGAGGCTGAGTCAGGAGGATCGCCATGAGTTTGAGGCCAGCTGGGCTACATAGTGAGCTCAAAGTGAGCCTGAACTACATAGAGAGATCTGTCTCAAAAAAAAAAAGCTAGATTAGGGAAGTCTGCAAGCTATGTCTTTGTTGGCTTATCACCTTTTGTTTCTGTTTTTTCCTCGTGGTATGTCTGGATGTATCAGTTCTGCAGAGAACAGAAGCCAACATTTACTGAAGGCTTGCTATGTGCCAAGCATGGACCTAACCACTGGACCATGTTTATGCCTCACAATCACCTGAAGAGGAAGGTACTAAGATGCCTCCCTCTTTGCCAGGGGAAAACACACAGATGCAGGAGATAGTAAGTCTACCACACATAACCTCTAGCTCAAGCTCCAAGTCCGCCTGCTGGAAGAATTAGTCAGCCCTTCCTATTCTAGGTTTCTGTATCTCGGGCTTCAATCAAGTATGGATCAAAAATACTCAGGCAAAGCACCATATCTGTAATGAACATGTACAGTTTTTTTCTTGTCATTATCCCTTGAATAATACTGAATAACAACTTATTATTTCAATCCTACCAGGTATTATAAGTAATACAGATGTGACTTTAAGTGCATAGGAGAATGTGACTAAGTTCTATGCAAAAACTATACCATTTCTTATTACCAGCCCTAGATTTTGGTATCTGTGGGAGTCCTAGAACCTATGCCTCCCTAATACTGCTGGACAGCTCTACAGGCCTAGCTAATGTCAGCTATGGTTAGAACTTCAAGCTTAAGATCTGTTCAGGATTTTCTTATCTCTTTCCTTGTTCCCAGGTTTCTAAACTCCTGGGCTTGTGCAGCCTCAAGACACCCAGAGAAGGCATCTTGTCCCTGGCGCCCTCATCGGGCCGGCTACCACATATTCTGAGTTGTGCTGCTGTTCCATTTTGTCCTCTGATGACTTCCAGGCCAGCACTTGCTGAGGAGCTGAATCTCTGCCTGGCCTCCAGCCACAGTGATCTCTGACTAACAGTCCCTTTGGGCCTACCTGCTTCCTCGTGGCTAACTAGCAAGCCCTCCTGAGCGTGCTGGGCCAGGACCCAGGGAGCCTCACTCAGGAGACTTCTGTGTGTTGACACGTTCTCACCTACATATGGGTGGGCACTTGTACCAATGCAGGTGGAAGCTCCGGTGTCCGGCATGTTCTCCCAAGTCACTGGCTGCCTCTCTCCTCCTACTAGGATCAGTGGGCTGAAGGTTATTTTGCCCAACTCTTATAGAAATCGCAAGTAGACAACGTGTAGCTCTTCTTGTTAATAACCCTGAGCTTTGAAAGCCAGCCACGCCCAGCCCTTGCCCTCACAGTCCTGGCGGTACAGCTAGCAGCTACAGCAGCCCTCGGGACCTCTTCCCGCAGGGAACAGGGCGGCTCCCAGCGATTCTCTGTGGCTCTCAGCCATTTTCTGCCATTATCCACCTTGAGTGTTACCCACCTGCTGCTGGCCACTTCCGGTGCCAGTGGCCTTTGATGTCACCAGCTCAACCTGCTCTGTGGAGACAGAAATCATGAATAGGCAAACATACGCCATCTGGAAGAGCCTTTAGGGGACTTAGGCTGCAGTATCCAGGAATAGCACAAGGGTGACTCTCCAAGCATGGGCGGGTGACCTACGGAGAAGAATGGTGCATTTGTTTGCGCATGCGCAGGGTCAGACTTGCATTGCGTCTCAGCAGGGCCCTCCTCCTGGACCGGACTGAGGACTGCTGCAGAGGCAGAGTCTCCAGAAAGGTTGTGGGAAGAGCCCTGTGGAGGGACCCACGACCGACGCTTGCTGTAGCCCAGCAAATGTGTCCCAGAGGGGCGGCGGGTGCTTGATGTCGCCAGAGGCCAGTTGTGAGGCCTCTGAGGAAGCTGCCGAAGAAAGAAAGATCTCGAAGGACCTCTTGAGGAGCGCGTGGTCCCTCGCCCCCGTGGCATCTGCTCATCGCTGCCCTGTCCCCTCTTTGCACCGCCCCCTGCACCTCCCCCACTTCTGCCTCTAGCTGTCGGCCTCTGGCCCATCCTTTTCCTCTTCTCTTCGGCGGCGCACGGGGGGAATTTAAGGATCCCAGTTTCTTCACAAATCTTACTTCAAACTACTTTATTGTTGTCTTTTTGAGGCAGGGCCTAGCTCTGCAGTTCAGGCCTGCCTTGCACTCACTTTGTAGCCCAGGCTGGTCTCGAACTCGCAGCAATCCTCCTGCCTCAGCCTCCCAAGTCCTGGGATTACAGGTGTGCGCCGCCACGCTCGACTTCAAACTACTTTTAAAGTAAAGAATCTGAGGTAAAGTGAAAAACCAAACAATAGTATTCACTAATTTCACACCAACACTTCCTTTAAGCATAGGGCCCCGGCCTGGACCACGCTGTGGGGAAAGGGATTGTCTTGGGCTGCACACAGAATATATAATATAGTTCATGTGTAGAAGCAGTAATTAACTTTTTTTTTTTTTTAAGGAGGGAAACATTAAAAGACATACAACATTTTACAACATATCACAAGCACAATACAGACAACACAGAGTTACAAACAAAGTGGTAGGGAATTAACAATGGTGGTTGTATTAGCAGTAATTAACTTATTAAATTATTTTATGAAATAACACAAATCCGAGTTTAATAAGAAAGCTTATAGGTCCACTTAATAATAATAAATGCCTGTGTTCACAGGCACACACACCTGAGACAGGTTGAAACCTTGTCATCGGTCATTGCTATGTGGTACCCAGCATGACGCACAAGCACAGGTAACGCCTGATCACGTGCGTTTCCGTTCTGCAATGTGTAGCGGGCGCAGGAGACAGAGTAAGCACTGCCCTCAGCCACAGCGCACCCCTTTACATCTGAGCTTGCGCATCGTGCAGCTGAGTCGTGAAAAACATCGGCCAAGGTTATACAGTAATGACAAAAATATACACTCTTCTGGGGCTGCGTACTAGCATGCAGCCACAGGTCACAGACTGAATACTTCAGCCTTAAAATGATGGCGGCTACTGTTGAATGTCCAGCCTCGAGCAAGGCCTAGGGTCTGTGTGAGGAAATTCACCAAGCAGCAAGGAGCAGGATACTCATGAGTTCTGACTCCTAAATAGCACCCCAGCACAGAACTCTGAGGAAAAATCTTCGTACATGATAGACACGTCGGCGGACACCTGTATGCTCTCTCAACAGACAGAACCTACAGAGACAGTGGATACATGGCTCGGTAGTAGCGCACATGCCTGGAACGGTCAGGCGGTGACAAGCCCCAGAAATGGAAGAGAGAGGGAGAGAGAAACAGACAGAGATAGAGGGGGAGAACGAGAGAGAGAGAGCACAAAAAAAGATGTATTATATACACGTACCAACTCCTCACAATGAATATAATCATTATGTACTGCAAACATGCACTAATAAGACAAAAAAATTATATGATGTTCTTGCAGAGGTAAAATTAGGAGGCCAAAAAAAGTTTTTAAAACCTAATCTTATTTATCGATATGGTGAAATATTACTTATCCAGAAAGAGAATGAAACACTGATTCATACTATCATGTAAAGGAACCTCCAAAACTTCGTGCTATGTCAAAGAAGCCAGACAGAAAAGGTCACATATTCTATGAATCCTTTTATACGGAATATTCAACATAGAAAAATCCAGGGAGCCAGAATGCACATCGCTGGCAGCCAGGCACAGGGACAGAGCGCTGGGGAGAAAGCCGTAAGGAGTTCACTTTGGAGTAAAGGAAATGTTTTGGACGCAGGTGGAGGTGGTAACCGCCTGACATGGTGAATGTACTAAAAGCTACTGACTTGTTGACATTAAAATGGTTAATCTTATATTCTACAAATTTCATCTGCATAAACTGTTTTTGCAAAGATCAGTGTCCTCTGGAGTGGGGAGAGGCTTAATGATAAAGTGGCAAAGAGATTTTGGGAGTGATGGCACCGGATTTTGGTGGTGCCTATATTGTCCCACACTTGTATTGCTGTATACTAAAAAGAATAAGTTTTATTGTATGTAAATTACAGCTTAATGCAAAAATGGAGACGTATCCAACAGGCAGAAACTAAATGAAGGCTACTGGCAAAAACCTGCCCTAGGTTATTTCCCTGGAGAGTGACGGCTGTGTAGAAAGTATCATAAAACTGTTCTTCTGTGACCCCATTCTAATACAATGAGCAACACATTGGCTCCTGTAGAATGAGATTTACTGCCATTTTTTATCACTGTGTTATTCACTGCATGAAGATTTGATGGGGATGAACTTGCAGAGAGTTTAACTACGTTTTTCAAGGTAAATATGCTAATATATAAATCGTATATAATTACCCAAGGCAACCCCATGTTTAAGAATAGTCACAGAAGCATGAGGGCTACAGGTTACTTGTGAAATAAAGTAGCATAGATCTCCAAGGTCAGCTGCTGCCAGGGAGTTTAAACTCTTCTTGACTTAATAATTTCAAGCATAATATTTCACTCCCTTCAAAGGTGTCCTGGCTATCCTTTGCTACCTGACAAGCACTCCGAAACTTATTGGCTTAAAACCTGATTTTATTAGTCTACCCCACAGCTCTGTGGGTTGGCTGGGTCCAGCTGGGCAGGTCTCACCTGAGGATGCCGCCATGAGCTGGAGGATCAAGTTACAGATGAAAACTCCACTGGGTTTGCTGTTCAGCATGCTGCCCTACATGACGGCAGCTGACACTAGCTCCTGGCTGACAGCCAAGCCAGCTGGGGTCTATGTATGTGGCCTGCACATGGCCTCATCCTGAGACCTGAACGCCACTGGCACATAGCGGGAGTCCCAGAGACAGTGTCTCAGGAACAAGCATTCCAAGACACCAGGCAGAAGGACTCAGCCTTAGAAATCATTCAGCATCATTTCCACCCCGTTTTACTGGTCAAAGAGCAAGTCACAGGCCAGCCTCGATTTTAGAGGTGGGAATCACACAAAAGCATGAATACTTGGGGGTGAGGGACACTTTGTTGGGGACCGTGTTCAGATAGCTTCCAAAAGAGGCACCAATGCTTGTGATGATCTTGGAATGGTATTAAGTTTTCAACTGTAAAGTGTCATTTTGGAATTTTTTTTTTAATTAAAATGAGTCTAGCTTTTAGAAAATATCCATCTTAGCAATAGAGTACTATCTAGCTGGGTCATTCAGCAAACACTTGTGAGAGTCTGCTAGGTTGCCATTGCTGCATGAGGCCTTGAAGACACATGGGTGAGTACGTCATGGAGCAAGTCCTTGTGGGATGTAGAGTCTAAAGGCGGCATGATGGAAACAAACAGTGCTACAGAAAGTTGCGCAGAATCCGTGTGGGCACTAGGGGCAGACTCTCCCCAAAGTCACTGAAAGGATGTCAAGAAGATCCCAGAGAGAGAGGATTTATGAGGAGAGTCTAGGCACAAGAGGGGTGGAAGGAACTAGGGGAGAAGAAAAGGCATTCCAAGTGGAACAAGCCAAGCTAAAGTGAAGGAAAGGACGCAGACCCCATGTCTAGCTGTTCCATGTGGTAAGGTGCAGGATAGAGCAGGAGATTCTAGAAACAAGCGTCCATCTGCACAATCTTACACGGGTGTGCTTAGTCTGGTACACAGGTCAAGCATTTGTTCTGTTTGCACTTTCAAAATGGACTACTAAGCCAGGTGTAGTAGTGCACACCTGTAATCCCAGAACTCTGGGAAACTGAGGCAGTAAGAGCATGAGTTTGATCTCAACCTGGGCAACTTAGAGACTTAGTGAGACCCTAGCTCAAAATAAAGGGCAGGCGAGAGTAGTTCAATTCAATCCCTAACACCATACACACACACACACACACACACACACACACACGCACACACACACACTACCATAGTGTTCTTTAATTTTTAAAATTTGTTTCCAACACTTAATAAATAGAAAGTTTGACATACAAATACAGCTTATGAAAAAAAATAGAAGTTAATTTGACCACATTGGACCCAAATTCCCATCCCGCAAAACTTGGCCAGAGCCCAAGCAGTCGTGTTTGTCCACTCAAATTTCTTAAACAGAAATACCAAAGATTGGATGACCTAAAGGACAAACATTTATTCCCCACCGTTCTGGAGACTGGGAAGTCCAAGATGGAGGACCGAGAAGATGCATCTGGTGAGAGCTGCTTCCTGCTTCCTGCTACCTGGAAGCCATCTTCCTGTCTTCTTGCTGTGCCTCACATGGTAGACAGGGAGACAGTGCTCTCTACAGCCTCTAATTTTTTTTTTCAGTACTGGGAATTGAATCCAGGACCGTTTCCCAGAGTTACCTCACCCTCCCCCCCTTTTTTTGAGGCAGGGTCTCAATAAATCACTCAGTTGCCCAACCTGGGTTTGAATGTGCAGTCCTCCTGCCTCAGCTTTCCAGAGTCTCTTTAACAAGGGCAGTAATCCCAGTCATGAGGGTTCCACTCTTAGGATGCATTCACCTACCAAAAGCTTGACCTACTAATATCAACTGGGAGTCAAGATATCAACACATGAGTTCAGGGGAGCAGAACAAAAACGTTCAGCTGCTAGCAGTCACTGCACTCTCCTTGGAGGCACGAGCTCCCCAGTTCATGACAGTCCCTCTGGTCCCCCT